TGGGCAAAAATGTTAAGACAAAATGTTTTAAACTTGAATTGTTTATTAAAAATCACACTAAAAGTACTGCATTGTATAACATATTACATCATAATACTGTTAAATTGAAGGTCTTATTTGATGGCACATTGATTTGGTAATAAATTTTAAAAGTCTTTCACTGATCACCGGAATTAAATTCCAATGCTACAATTTTAGACCTAAAATTAATATTTAAACTAATTTTCTCCCAAAATAGTAAGCATTTTGTGTAATTATTTATTATATCAAAACCCAACTTTGAAATTGAGTGCAATACCACGGTTAAAGAGCCAACCTACTCTATTGGCACAAGGAATTCTTCTTTGCTAACCATTATTTCAATCTGTAATTATTTTTTCCGAAATAAGGCGATTTTACTAAATGATTATATAAACTTTGCCAATGAGAAAAAAATGAGGAAAAAAAATTAACATTTTTTTTCCATTCACAAAAGAAAATTGTCTCAGAGTGTCCAAATGTCTGCGAATAAATTACTCACCTGATAATTTCGCAAAGGTACAATTAAATGCTTCATTTGCTCTCAGCTGTCATCCGTATGGGTATTTTCCAAAATCAGATTATATATATATATATATATATATATATATATATATAGAGAGAGAGAGAGAGAGAGAGACAAAAGTTTCTGTTTATTTAATAATTAAATAACACTTCATAATTCCACACTAATATATCCAATTATTTGAAAAACGTGATCAGAAAAAGAAACTTTTGTAAACAACTATTTCATTTATTTTTATATTTTATTTTTAAACCCAAGGGATTTCTTTTTATTGAATTTCACGTAATAAAAGATTGATTGTTTTTTTTACTGCTTATCAACGTTTTGCAGGTTATTTACAGCCAGAAAATAATTTTAGACGAACTTAAAATCGGACGACATTTATGCTAGCTCCTGAGGAGGGTTCTTGATTGGACCTTCATGACAATAGGCAGGGAGGAGTAGATGCGATAGACAGCAATAAAGAACAGAACTCAACTGCATTAATATTTAAGCTTACCTTTTAAAAGTGCAACAGTAATTCTTCCGCCGCCATTTAATTTAAAGACAATTTGATGTACGTAGGTCCTCACTTTCCATGCAAAAGATTATTTTTATTTCAGAGATGAGTTTTGCTGAATTTCGAAATTAATTTAAATTATTCCCAAATTTATTTCCACGTTATACAAATTCATCGCAAACATCACGTAAAAAAATCGCCGAAAACTATCTCAGTTAGGAATAATTTAGAATTCAAAATTTCAGGATTACGGCTCCTGGTCCAACCACCGGAATGTTTATAATTTTCTCACGAAGACGATCTTATTCTAAAATGGTAAATGCTGACTTACGACCCCTGGGAGTAAAGTTGAAAACGCGGACAATATTACTTTAATATTACACTGTAATTTGATAACAGTATTTTTTTTTTCATTTGAACATGGCCTATTGAAAGAGTTGTGTCCCTTTAATTGTTTTTATCACTAGAAACGAAGATGGCGGAATCGGGCAGCAATTGCAGCAATAAAAACTTAAGAATCCAGAATTTCAACATTGCGGATTCAGATACAACCCGGAATCTTTTTCTTTACTCACAGGAGTAAAGTTGAAAAAGGGGGACAGAATGGCGCACTGACATTCGCATTTATTATATAGACTAGCAGGATAACCCGTCTTCGACCGGGTCTTTCATTACTGGGAATTTTTGCCGTTCAATTAGAAGTGTTTAAATTCAAGACAACCCATGCCACTCACCTCCCCACCCCCCAAAAAACCATTAAAGTTTTTCGATTTTTCTCCTTCAAGGTTGTAATTTTTTTTTCAAACTAATTGGGACTCAAAACCGGCACTGAAGAATTGTCTATGGAACAAAAAAAAAAAAAAAAAAAGAATTTAATCGAAATCGGATGAAAACTGCGGAAATGCATAAACGACATCCGACGATCACACACACACACACACACACACACACACATTTTGAGAATTATAGATATAGATAATATTATTGTAATAATTTAAAGTATTTATTTTTATTAAAGTTTTTATGAAAGATATATATCCAAGAACAGACAGTAAATAATAAAACGCTGCTGACAGTTATAATAGACAGGAAGTAGTGGAGAGCCATTGTCGCCAAGAATAATCTATCGAACAAAAAAATTTCATCGAAATTAGATGAAAACTGTGGAAACGCATATACAACCTCCGATCACACACACACACAAACACACACACACACCCACAAACCCCCCCACACACACCCACCCACAAACACACACACATACACACACACAAGGACACTCAAGGACACTTGGCACAGTGGATAAAGGCGTTGGTTAGATCCAGTGACAGACCCAAAGAGTGTGAGTTCAATTCCTGGTTAAGGCAGTGGAGAACTTTCAGAGGGAAAATTAGCAGGAGATAACTGATAACTGACATCCATCAAACATGGAACTAGAACAGTCTACCCCAGTGAGCGAAATAAAGGGTTCAGTTCGAAATTCCAACCACCTGAAGAAGGCCGGAGCGTACAACGGCCGAAACGTTGTGACAAATATGGCGACAAAGATGAGGACAATAGTCCGACTAATGTAAATACTGTACATAATACCTCATCTCAGAAATATAGACAAACACACACACTTGTTGAGAATTTTAGATATAGATTGTAAGCATATTTTGCTGAGAATAAGGACTTACTGATACAATACAAATACAATATAAATACAATACAAGTACTACAAATAGTTTCTGCATATTTAACTGTTAAATAACCCTTCATAATTTCAAACTAATATAACTTTCTTATGTGCCGTGCCTGTTCAGGGCGTAGGCGATCATACCTCTCCACATCTTCCTGTCCCTTTTATATCTTAATAATTTTGTTTCTTTGTTATTTATCCAAAACCTTGTTCTACCATCCATTTCCTCAAGCTCATATCGTATTTTATGCACTGCTTTCTTTTGTCTTTTTCCCTCCATCTATCCTGTGAGTATCTAGTTTGCGAAGTACTCCATCCTCATAATGCCCGCAGAATTTTCTCCTGCTTCTTCTTGATATTAAATATTTCCTTATTTATTTCCATTTTCTTCAAAACTTCTTTTCTTGCTCACATGTTCGATCCATGGTGTCCTCAGCCCGTTATTTTAAAAACGTAATCAAAAAAAGAAAGAAAAAATGAACACTAACATCTCATTTAACATATATGTTTACGAAAACGACATAAAAGTATATTGAAATCCAAAAGAATGGATTCATGCAATAAAATCGCCATTGGCTTCAACCATGGCCTCCAGATGACTTCGGAATCTCCTGCAACTCTTCTGGACGGTCTCTTTGCTTAAGTTTGGGAATGCTGCCATAATGAATGCCTTCAATGCATCTTTGGTGTTAAAGAGTTTTGGTAATCTCTTGCTCTTTCAGGTCTCAGTACTATGATTGAAATTCCTCAGGAAATATTTGGTAACTGAGAGAGTTAGATCGTTTGCCTAAACGTAAATCTCTCTTGCAACCCCCATGTATATATATATATATATATATATATATATATATTATTCGAAACCAGATGCTATTTTTATATTGTCAGATTTTTTTTTTTTTTTAGATCATAATGATTTAGTTATAGAAATCTCACTAATTAATCCATAGCTGGGGAGAGGATAGGTGGATTCGTAAATTTGCCAAGGATATTTTCATGTAAGTAAATAAAAAGAAACCGACTAGAATGGGAAGTTGGATTTTTGATCTCCAAATCCAAGCCATTATCCATTACATCATTCGTACATTCAAGCTGAGCGCATCTGGGATTCCCAAGCGATCATCCATCACTGTTCTCTATATCTGTAATTGTAATGTTAGCCTTTTCCTTATAAGGAACTATTCAGCAATCATTGTCTGAGCAGCCAGTGCTACTTGGGTTACACCTTTCTCCACTCTTTGGCCATCAGATTGAAATCAAAGTGTAGTATCTGTTGTCTATATGTGTAATGGTAATATTAGCCTTTTCCTTATTAAGAAAACATTCTGCAATCATTGACTGAGCAGTCAGTGCTACTTGAGTTACGCTTTTTTTTATCACTCGTTGGCCATCAGAATGGGATATACTGAACGGTTCGACGTTGCTTAACTTCGTCAGATCGATCGGGAACTGGTTTTTCAACTTGGTTTATCCGTAAGTCACGCAATGAAATGGTAGATAGCCACTCAATTTAGATGGTTACAGTTTAAATGAAATTGATGAATATGGTGTGAGTGTTAAAAAGTCGAGATTATGGGAAAAAGGAGAAAAGGTAACGATTGTCCCTTGATTTTCAGACCTTAAGATTGTTCAGGGAAGCACTCACGCTAGGGCTTAGTCACACAATATAGCAGTTCTTTGGAAAAAATAAATCTTATTTTTTCGTTTGGAACCCAAGGGAAATAAGAATGATTCGACTCCAAGAGAGTCTTGTGGAACTAAAGAATGGTAATAATACGAAGAGCTCTAATGAAAATCGCGATTTATTGCTACAATTTAAGGAGATTAGCAAAATATTTAACAATGTGATAGGAGAATTTCTAGGGATATTCTATCGTTATAGAACTCGCCATGACTTTATTCAATCATTAACTTAAAAATGAAGATTCCCCAGAAAATTTAAATAGAAAAACCATGAAATTTTCGCAGTTTTTTCTGGTTATCATTATTATGATTTAGCTTACAACTTATTCTGCCAGTGCTGACAGGGAGATAACTCTTGTTTTTTTTTTTTTTTAAAGAATCTTCAAGTAAAAATATATCTTCCCATTACCGGATGTACTATGTTATTTTCCGATGTCTTTATCCATGAAAATCAATTCTGAAGGGGAAAAAAATAAAAGAAACTCGATGTTAGCGATTAGATTACTGCAGCATTAAAAAAAGAAATGTGGCGACAAGGTTCAAATATTGAAAAGTCACTTTTCAGTCTCGCTACATAGACTTATATGAAGATTGAGCTAGAGAGAAAGATAAACTGATAGCAAAAGAGGGAATGATAAATTTATAGATATGGGTAGAATAGAGAAAGATACACTAGTAGATTCTGACAGAATTAGATGGAATGTTAAATTCGTAGATATGGAGAGAAGATAGATAGAGAGATAAACTGACTGATAATGTCAGAATTAGGAAGAAAGAAAGATAAGGTGATGCATATGGAGACAGTAAAATAGAAAGTTAAACTGAGAAATATGAACAAATTTAGAAAGAAAGAAAGAAAAAAACGAAAGAAAGAAAAAACGAAAGAAAGAAAAAAACGAAAGAAAGAAAGAAAAAAAAGAAAGGAAAAAAAGAAAGGAAAAAAGAAAGGAAAAAAAGAAAGGAAAAAAAGAAAGGAAAAAAAGAAAGGAAAAAGAAAGAAATGATAGTTATAGACATTATTAGAAAGAAAGAAAGAAAGAAAGAAAGAAAGAAAGAAAGAAAGAAAGAAAGAAAGAAAAACTGATAGCTATGGACAAGATTGTGATGAAAGGAAGGAAGGAAAAAAAGAAAGAAAGAAAAAAAAAGAAAAAATGACAGCTAGGGATAAAATTAAAAAGAACGAAAGAAAAACTGACTGCTATGGACAAGATTAGAAAGAAAGAAAGAAAGAAAGAAAGAAAGAAAGAAAGAAAGAAAGAAAGAAAAACTGACTGCTATGGACAAGATTAGAAAGAAAGTACTCATTCCACTTTTACATGTCTACCAACTGCCTGTCTGCTCCTTTATATTAAAACGCTTGTATTGTAAATAATTCCGTAACCCTCGACGGATAAATTTTAAAATTCTAAAATAACTATAACAGCATGTTCTTTGGTTGTCTCAATCTCTTTTTTAAAATACGGGAATCCCTCGATTAATGCGTTTTCGATTAGTGAGTTAAATTTTTATATGCCAAAAGTTGATTAGTGCATCGATAATACACTATGAATGCACTAAAACATTCTTCAGATTAAGTATAGTAATTGAAAATCGATTTATTTATAGTTACAGATTAATTAAAATTATTCTAAACTTTGTAAATGATTAACTATTTTGTTTGTCAAGTATTGAGTTACCTAATCAAGGCCAAGCAATTTCTAGTGGCACGCAGCAGCAAATGACATCACGAAGTCCGAACCAATAACTACTACAGCGCAAAGATATGAAGCTGTTTCAATTTTAATATACACTAAGAATATCTATACTATATATATTACACTATAAAATATATTGAAGAATGGGTATATTGACCTTGTGTAAAAATATGTATGCTCTTGGCACACTGAATGATTTTAAAACCCTAAATCGGCAGATAGCAAGAGGGTGCCGACCCCTAATCTAAGTAATCACAGAAGTGTTAAAAAAAAATAAACGCTTATAAATAGATCGATTTTATAATATAAGCCGATAATAAAATTAGATCTATATAATAAATGCAAATGTCAATCCTAGAGGCCGTAGCCCAACAAACCATACCATTTTAAAATCAAGAAGAATCCGTGAGCAAATTAAAAACATTTCGGGTCGGATCCAGACCCTCAATCCTGAAATTCTGGATTCCCAAGTTTTTATTACTGCGATTATTTTGGGCGATTTTTTACGTGATTTCTTTTGCGACGAAGTTTTTTTGTACGATAGCAAATTTTATAACTTCGAAATAAATTTGGGAATAATCAAAATTAATTGCGAAATCCAGCGAAAGTCACCCATGAAATAAAATAATTGTCTGTATGGAAAGTAAGGACCTACGTACATCAAGTTGTCTTTAAATTAAGTGGTGGTAGAAGAATTATTGTTGAAATGTTAAAAGGTAAGCTTAGATATTGATGAAATACTTAAATGCAGCAATCAGTTTTGAGTTCTTCTGTAGTTTATTGTTGCCTATCGCATCTATTCCTCCCTAGCTATTGTGATGAAGGCCCAATCAAGAGTCCGCCACAGGAGGTAGCTTAAATGCCGCCAGATATGGCGGTTTTGATGCTACCTTTTTGTCTCTATCAAAGTTTTTGGAAAATGTCGATTTTTCATGTTTATTTTCAAGGTCGTAAAAGGAAATATCTGATTTGTTGTTCAAAAAAATGAACGATTTAATTAGATACAGAAAATTACATTTACTTTAATTCCCCATGTATAATAAGCCTTCATCCATAATACGCACCCCTAAAATTATGCTGAAAGTGTGGGAAAATCTTTATACTCACGCATCATACGCACCCCTTGTTTGGTAATGACAGCCAGCGTTTCATATTCTCCTTCAAGCTGTAATAGAAGATGTTTATCAAAATTTCCAATCATCACGATTCTAAAAGGAAACGGAAATATCTATATTGTGCCTACTGCGCAGACTCACTAACTTGTTTTTGTTCGATAAAATATGCAATCTACCGGGTCTGTATGTATTTATTTATTTTTTTTGTTTTGTTTTACAAAAAATGCTTTTAAACATATATTCTAATTTAGTTTTATGATAATTCTTATTTTATTTTACATTTGTAAGTATTGTTAGATACATATGATTGTATTTGACATCCGTATAGAGTCGCAATCGCCGAATGTTAGTGTCAAATTGTCATATGTTTGTTGTTAGTAGTCATTTCGCGAATTAAATCGACCTACGAAACGGCCATTTTTTTTTATATAATTTTTGTAGCAGTACATAATACGCAATCTTAATTTTGCTTATTATTTTTTAGAAAAGATGCGTATTATACATGGGGAATTACGGTATTAAGATATTTCGAAATATAAATGATGTGTGCATTTGCTATAGAAAGATTATAAATAATATTTTCAAATAAAACTAGTAATGATTAAGATATGTTTGGAAAATATGAAGGGACTATTTCTCAGTACCGCTAATTATATGAAAAACAGAAGAATACCATGCGGCAAATAACTCTAAAGAAGTTTTTTTTATAAAAAATCAGATTAATAAATATTAATTCATATCATTTTTATTGTATGTTCTTATATTTATCTATATTTTCATTAAAAAGTAGGCAAATTAAAAATTAATTGTGAATGAGACTAACATTTGAGGTACAAATTACATCCTTTCCGATAAATTATATTCAATTAATGTGTTTTCCATTAGTGCGTATCATTTAATATACACATTTCCCCCTTGGTATTTCGACTGCATAAATTTAAGCGTGCTACTAGATTGGCAAATGTGTCGGGACTAGCAAGATACAACCATCAGTTCTATTCAAATAGATTCTTTTCTCGCCCGGGAAACTCCCTATCAATTTCTTGCTTCCCAGCCACCTATAACATGGGCCGTCAACCTTCGGCACGCGTGCCACACGTGGCACGTAAAACAATTTCCAATGCAGCCGCAAATGACATCACGTAGTCCGAACCAATTACTACTAAAACGCAAGGAAGATATTTAGCTGTTTCAATTTTAATATATATTAAAATATATATATCTATATATTACTATATAAAATATATTGTAGAACAGATATATTGACCTTGACTTGTATAAAAATAAATATGCTGTTGGCAGATTGAATGATTTTAAAAATCCTAATTGGCACAAAGCAAAAGGATGCTGACCCATAGTCTATTATATATTTAAGGATAGTTCAGTTATATTCCCGAAATGTGCCTTGCCCTTTTAACGTTGTGATAAGCTAATGATAGTCTGTTTTTGAGATATGATAAATTATCATTTTGTTTCTTCTATATACAGTGTCCCTTAAGGAAGAAGGGGGCGGTCATGGCTTTTCCTGACATTTGTGTAATTTGTAACTCATAGCAAGGATTGTTTTTTTTTTTTACTAATCCTCACACTCCCTGTTTTACCAACCCTTAATGCCATCTCGTTTCAATTTTAATATATACTAAAGTATATATATATATACTATATATTACTATATAAAATCTATTGTAGAACAGGTATATTGACCTTAACTTGTATAAAAATACCTATGCTGTTGGCACACTGAATGATTTTAAAATCCTAAGTCGGCACATAGTTAGCAAAAGGTAGGTGGATTGTGTGAAAATGAAGGGCTTTTTGGTGATATTTAGATGGTTCACTCTTATCCGCTGAGAAAAAAATTACCGCGGATAACGAGATCCTGCTGTCCCGAGTCAAATTAATAATAATATTCATCACGTATTTAATGTTGTGATAACAATCTAATGGTAGTCTGTTTTTGAGATATGATAAATTATAATTTTGTTTCTTCTATATGTAGTGTCCCTTAAGGAAGAAGTGGGCGGTCATGGCTTTTTAAAACGTCGTATCATTTGTAACTCAAAGCAAGGATTTTATTTCTTTTACTGACCCCCACACCCCTTGTTTTACCAACCCTTAACGCCATCTTGTTTCAATTTTAATATAAACTAAATTATATATACTAAATATTACTATATTAACTATATTGTCGAACCGGTATATTGACCTTGACTTGTATAAAAATACGTACGCTGTTGGCACACTGAATGATTTTAAAATCCTAATTGGCACAAAGCAAAAGGATGCTGACCCATAGTCTATGATATATTTAAGGATATTTCAGTTATATTCGCGAAAGGTGCCTTGCTCTTTTAACGTTGTGATAACAATCTTATGATTGTCTGTATTTGAGATATGATAAATTATCATTTTGTTTCTTCTATATACAGTGTCCCTTAAGGAAGAAACGGGCGGTCATGGCTTTTCACAATGTCGTATCATTTGTAACTCATAGCAAGTATTATATTTTTTTTTTTTTTGCTAAAACTCACACTCCCTGTTTTACCAATCCTTAACGCTATCTCGTTTCAATTTTAGTATATACTAAAGTATATATACTATATATTATATATTAATATATATATATATATATATTAATAATAAAGTATATATACTATATATTACTATATAAAACTAGGTACCTCCACGAGATCGCTAAAAAAAGAGCATCGCATGATTAAAAAGACGGCAAACTTGATGAAGTCGGATTGATGAAACGCGTCGACAGTCACTAAGAAATTTTCTAAT